GTCATAGAGCATGGTAGCAGCAGCCTGGAAGGTGAGATGAATCACTATACGTTCACACCCACAGACCCCCATATGAGACCAAATACAACTGTAAAGGACTTCAATCACCCCTGCTTTCAAATCCTGGCTCTAGTACTATTTCCCATGGACTATGAGGGAGTCGTTATTGTTGTTGTTGTTTTCCCTCTGAGTCTTAGTTTTCCCATCTGTAAACTGGAATTGTTATTGGATTGCAGGGAATATTAAATGAGTTAATACCAAGGAGACCTTTAGAAGCCATGCACAGCTCATAAAAAAAAACAACATACACACAAACCATGAATAGCAGGTTAGATACTTACATGGCCCTGGCCCCTTGTTCAGAGTTATGGGGAGATTGTATACTGATTGTATACTGATTGTTCAGAGTTATGGGAGCCCTGAATGCAAAGTCTTCACATTCAGTTCTCTGCCTCTTATGCCTAACTTTACTTCCCTAGACCCCTGAAGGAAGATGGGCAATAAAAGATACTCTTCGGGATGAGGAAGGGACAAATGTGTGGAGAGGGTCCACTGGGACACATCAGTGGTAGGAACTCAGGATATTTGTCTTTAGGAGACAGCCAGGGCTTAGCTCTAGCCAACTGCTACAATATGCATAAGAGGAAACCGCATGGCTGAACTGGCCAGTTTTTAAAGAAATGCCCAAAGTCTGGACATTTTATGTCACATTTCCCAATTTTGCAACACGGAAGACCAAACATGGCATTGTTATTGAGAATGAGCTCTAAACCATGCATCTGTTATATCTGGTCTGGGCACTGATGCCATCTGCAAGCCACCATACCCCTGTTGATACTCAGGGGTCTGACTGTCAACTTGCTTGCCATTCCCTGATGCCATGGCCTGAGTGTTAGTGTGCCTCCCTTCCAAATCGTAACTCATCAGTGATGGTAGGAGGAAGGGTCTGGGGCAGGGAGGTGGGGTGGGGGAGGGGATGGTCTTAGTGTCCTCATAAAAGAGAATCCAGAAGAAGAAGAAGTAAAAGAACCTGAGAAGCTCCTTCCATCATGTGAGAACACAGATAGTAGGTGCCATCAGTGAACCAAGAAACAGCTTTGCTGGCACCTTGATCTTGGATTTCTTAGCTTCTAGACTGTGAGCAATACATAAGGCCATCCAGTTGATGCTACCTGATCATAGCAGCTCCAATGTACAAAGATACTTGGTAAGTTCACCAGCCACACTAAAGCTACTCCTTAACCTACCACAGGAGACATAAGATCAAAAACATAAGGCGCTCAACTTCCCTTGAAACCCACTCTGGTCTCAGTCTGTGAGATCAAGATCAGGAAAGGGGAAAACAGAAAAGCAAAACAGAGGAAGAACTCCCTAAAGGGCTACAGATCCTTTGGCCATATTAACCTCCTGCAGGCATATCTGATAAAGAAAGTTGCCAGAAAGTAATGGTGGGACCAAAGGAGAGAATGGGGCTAAAGATCCTATATTATCTATCAGTTCAAATGAATGAAAGTTGTTTCAGGGGTAAAAGGTCCTTGCTATGCAAATACAACATAAAAGAACCAGATGGCTCACAATGAGCAACCCAGGAGGATGGCTATAAGCAGGAAGATGAAGCCAGATACAGGTAGATCATACTTATAATCCTAGCTACTCAGGAAGCTGTGACCTGGAGGACTGAGGTTCAAAGTTGGCCCTGATAGAATAGTCTGTGACATTTCATTTCCAATTAACCAGTAAAATTCCAGATTAAAGGCAAGACTTAAGTGGGAAAGTACCAGCCAGGAGGAAGAAAACCAAGTGAGAGAACAAGGCTCTGAGTTCAAGCCCAGGTACCTGCACACGCACATACACAAAGACAAATAATAATAAATGTGTGTGAAGATGTAAAGAAACTGGAATCCTCCTACACGTCTGGATGAGTGTGAAATGGTTTGTTATTTCCAAAAAGCATGTGGCAATTTCTAAAAAGAACAATAAACATACTTACCACATGACTCAGACATTCAATTCCTAGACATACATCCCAAGAGGCACACACACATACATCTGTACAAAAACTAGTCCATACTTGTTTATAGTAGCATCATTCATAATAGCCCCAAAGTGATAACAATCCAAATGTCTACCAATTGGTGGATGGAAAAACAAAATGTAGACTATCCATGTACAGTAAAATACTACTCACCAAAAAGCACAACAATGTACTGATATATGCTACAACACAAATCCAGAAAACTTCATGATACCTGAAATAAACAAGTATAAAGGACCACATATCATATGAAATGGGAAGACAGGCAAATCGATAGAGACAGAAAAGTGAATTTGTGGTAGCCTAAGTGATCAGCACGCTGTTAGAGGGAGGAGTGATGGCCAAAGGGGTGGTGTTTTTTTCAGGAATGATGATTATGTTCTAAAATTGATCATGGTGATGGTTGGAAAACTCTATGAATATATTAAAAGTCCATTGAAATGGATACTTTAAGTGGATAAATTGCCCAGCATGTGTGTGAATTATATTTCAACAATGCTATTATTTTAAAAGCCTGAAACTAAAATTGTTGCCTTTGTTTTAAAAGTCTAGGTCCACATACTGTTCTCACATCTGTGCCTCTGGGGAAAAACTGGACAAGTAATCCAAAGGCTGGTTTCTTTTGAAGCCTCAAGGCTCAGACCAGGGAGATCAAATGGCCTTGGTTTCCCCAGAACTGTTGGAGTATCCAATCTAGAAGTCTGTGTCCTGGAAAACTGTTAATACCTGAGCAAACTTGGATGGTTAGTTTCCTCAGTGCTACTTTTCCCATTAACAAGAAAGTTCTGCTCTCTGGCGCTGCGATGACTAGAATTGAGTGTGTCCACATAAAACAGTCCTTCCCCAATGGGGTATAAGTCATCCTTGAGCTCCCTCTAATGGTCAAAAGGTACTTTTATTATTGTTCCTATTTTACAGATGAGGAAACTGAGGTTCAGACTGGTGAAGTAACTTGCTAGGAGCAGACAAGAGGCAGGAACTCAGTCTGGGTTCTTTCTTTCTTTTCCTTTCTCTCCTTCCCTCCTTCCCCTCCTTCTCTCATCAGTCATGGGGCTTGAATTCTGGGCCTGGGTGCTGTCTCTCAACTCTTCAGCTCAAGGTGAGTGCTCTACTGCTTGAGCCACAGCGCCACTTCCGGTTTTCTAGTGGTTTATTGGAGATAAGAGTCTAACAAACTTTCCTGCTCAGGCTGGCTTTGAACTGTGATCCTCAATCTCAGCCTCCTGAGTAGCTAGGATTACAGGCATGAGCCACCAGCGCCCAGCTCTTTCTTTCCTTTCTCTCTTTCTTTTTTATATAGTTTATATCCTGCTGTGTGTTCATGTGACTTTTCCTTGATCAGTCTGGGTTTGGGTTTTTTTTTTGCCCCCAAACCTACAGTGACCCTTCTAATCATATCCCTTGTCTCACTATCTCACTGATTGTTTTAAAGAATGCTCTTGGCTTATTCTTGTCCTTCAAAGAAGCTATTCAGACACCCAAATTTGAGAAACATAAGATTCTAGCTACAGAAAGACAGAAATATGCACAGCTCAGTAGATAATCTTCACAAGAAACTGCCCAAGTATGAACTTGAGGGCATTATTTTAACCTCTTTAGGTGTTCTGTTTTGTTTTTCCAGTCCTGGGGCTTGAACTTAAGGCCTGGGCACTGTCCCTGAGCTTCTTTTGCTCAAGGCTAGCACTCCACCACTTGAGCCACAGGGCCACTTCTGGCTTTTCTGTTTATGTGGCACTGAGGAATTGAACCCAGGGTTTCATGCATGCTAGGCATGCCCTCTACCACTTAGCCATATTCCCAGCCCTCTTTAGGTGTTTGAAGTGGGGAAAGTAATAATACAGTGTATATGTGTGCATGCATATTTAATATACTACATAAATCTAACCAGATGGGATGTATCCTACCATATGGCAAATTTATTACATAAGCAATAATTCCTATACTTGAAATCAGACTAGGCCTAATAAAAATAGCAGAGGAGGAAAACCACAGACAGAAGCTCTGACAACATTTATAGTTTAAGGATTGGGGGAACTGTTTCAGACGGTGGAAACTTAAATGCAATCTGAGACAGCAAATCTAGGCTGCCCTGCCCAGTGTGATGACATCTGATAAGATGGTGAACCTTCTGAGCCAACCAGGGTCCAGAGCTGCTTATCTCAAATCACTCATTACACTCACTATAATTACCTCTTGAATAAGCAGATCAAATCATTTCTATAAACCACCCTGCCACGGGTGTCACAGCCAATTGCATTGGTGATATTTTTCATACGGTTCCCTTCCTGTCCCCTGGCCCAAACACTCTCTTACCTGTTCTTCACACCAGATCTTCCCAAGGGCTGCAGAAAAATTAATCCCTAAATGACTCAGTTTCCCCATCTAGATAAACTTGGCAATAATACCAGTTCCTACCTACTTCATAGAAGGAAAAGAAACTATCCACACAAAAGTAGATTTTCTGGAGTTCGAGCGAGGGTGTGTAAATTCCAAGAACCCCGCCACACACAGCGTCATTTTGATTCCCAGGGTCCAGGTCTACTCATCGCTTTTGAATGGTTACGTCTCCAAGGTGCCTGCCAACCTCGATTCAGCTGCTCACCCACAAGGGCCAGGGGAAAATCAGTTTCTCTAATGTGTGAAACAGACAAGCCAATTTGTTCACTCTGGAAACCATCCTCCCCCCTAGTCCTCCTCCCCATCCCTATTCTTCCGTCCCCTGGGGTCAGCCCACCAGGTCTAGAAGCCTTTGGCGTCTCTCCAAAGTTCAAAGCACCGTACCGGATCCACGCTCCGCTCCGCACGCTGAAGGACAACTCCCAGCATGCTCCGCGCGAGGCTTGTACTCCTTCACCCACTGCACACTCACAGCCGAACTCACGCCGCGCTCCCAAACGCTGGGGGACTACAATCCCCAGCAGGCTTTGTGAAGGCCGCCAGTGTCACGTGACACCTACCGCCCCGTGCCACCGGACACGTGATATCAGGAAGATGGCCGCCCTGACAGCTGAAGACTTCGCCGCGCTTCAGAGTCTGCTGAAGGTAAACGAGAGAGTTGGTGACTCCATCGTTTCTCCCCGCTGTCCTCCGTCTGCGGGGCTTTGCAGGCTAGCAGGAATTAGGAATCAAGCGGCCTTCTTTCGGAGCCGCACTTCTGTCGGTATTTTGTGTGGCTCCGGGCAAGCCCGGTGGCCAGGGGAGCGGGGAGCGAGGTGAGAGCCGCCAAGGCACTGTTGGTCTCCGCGGCTGGCTGGGGATCGGTGCTGGGCCCGCGTTCGGACGTCCTCGTGTCATCCTGCGGCCGGCCCATCTGCTGTCCACCGTTGAGAAGGTGTTCCCCGACCCACGTGCCCGGTATCCATCTCCTCGCGGCCTCCACGTGGAGCTGGCGCCTCCCCCTCCGAGGCCCAGCGTCCAGGCCTCCCCCTCCCCTCGAGGCCTGGCTTCCTGGAGGGGTCACCACACTCCTCAGACCCGGTTGTTTGAAAGATTCGGAGGTTGGGAACCTACTGCCCAGGGCTTCATCAAGCCCAGTTGAAGTGAGGTTTTTGCGTTCTGTTCTCTGTCCACAAAAAAAAAAAAAAAAAAGATTCATGACGCTTTGTTTTCCTTCGTTGACTTGTGGCTCTCTCACACTGAGCCTGCCTGTGTGCAGATTCAGGAGGGAAATTGTCTTTCCTTCCCCTGGAAGAGGTTGAATTAATTGCATTCAAAGATTCATGCGCAGCAGCCGCATCCGTCCACATAATGGTCTTTGGTTTTTACTTTTTTATTCCCGGAGGTACTGAGGATTGAACCCCACCACTTTGTGCCATGTCCCCAGTCCATTCTGTTTGTATAGTTTGTTTCTCGGGTAGGATTTCTGCTAACTTCTCCCAGGATAGCCTGGAACTCAGGATTCTCATGCCTCCAGCTTTCTTGGACTTTTTTTAATGGCCTCTCTACTATACTTTGCACTTAACATTCCTAAAGGCATTTACTTTCTAGTGCACAAGAGTATACCAACAAGGAGAACACCCACCAGGCAGCATGGGCTCAGTACATACTTGTCAAATAAATTCATGTAGTAACTGATCTGTAGGCTGAAAATCTCCCAACAACCCAGTACTTTCTGTCATTGTGGCTGCTTCACACCTTAGCCTCTCCACATGTGTTTGTCCTTCCTTCAATAAACTTTTTTTCCTCTCTCTCTTTTATTTATTTATTTTGCTTATGTGGTGCTTAGGAATCGAACCCAGGACCTCACGCATGCAAGGCAAGCGCTCTACCACTGAGCCAACTTCCCAGCCCCTCTTCAATAAACTTTAAAAAGTTGATATGTATCATAGATACAGAAACTGTGTAAATCGCAAGTTTGCCATTTTAATGATTTATTACACACCCATGTAAGCAACATCAAGTCAAAAAATGAAACATTGTCAGTACCCCTCCCCCCAAGTCCTCCTATTGCTTTTTCATTATGCAGCTTTCCCCCCCTGTGGACACCCCTGTCATTAGTTCTAACAATTTAATATTGCTCACGTTTGGACTTCACTGACCTGGAATAATACAGCATATACTTCTTTGCATCTGACTTCTTTAATTTGTATTCCTTCATTTATTTTCACTGTTCTTGTCCTGTGTACTTTTTAATCTAATAATGAAGCTTTATTTTTAAATAAGCATACATTCACATAAACTTGTAAAAAAATGCAAAGATCTCATTTACCCTTTTACCAAGTTTCCCACAACAGGGACATCCTGAAACCTATAGAATCATATTACAAACAGTATTTTGACATCGATACAGTCAAAATACAGAACGTTTCCATCACCTTCTATAAGACCCTTTGTATTGTATCCACACTCATTTCTATTCTGCCTCCACAGCTTCTCTAAGTTCTGTCATTCTTCTGTAATTTTGTCATTTCAAGAACTTTATACTTTACTATATATAACCATCTAGGATTGGCTTTTGTTTGTCTGTTGTGAACTCAGGGCCTAGGCACTGTCTCTGAGCTCTTTTGCTCAAAGCTATGCTTTGAGACACAGCTCTACTTCTGGTTTTCTGACAGTTAATTGGAGATTAGAGTCTTGCAGACTTTCCTGCCTGGGCTGGCTTTGAACCACAATCATCAGATCTCAGCCTTCTGAGTAGCTCTTTGCCTTGAGCAAAGAAAGGTCAGCGACAGTGCCCAGGCTCTGAATTCAAGCCTTAGGACCAGCACAAAAAATAATTTTATTGTTATTATTAAGTTGTTGTACAATAAGGTTACCATTTCATAAATCAGGTAATGAGTATATTTCTTTTTTGGACATCACTGCTTCCTTTGCTTTACCCCAATTTCCTCCACCCATGCTTGCCCACAAGTTACATATGTCATTTTCTACATAATATATACTGGATAGAATGATTACATTTGTTCACCATTCCTCCCTCCCTTTCTATGCCCCCACTTTGCCCCTCACAGAAGAAAAAGAAAAACAAACACCACAACCAACCAACAACAATAACAAAAAACCGATAACAATAACAACAATAACAATAGTTCATTTGGGTAAATAATATTTTAAATGTTTAGAGAAGTTTCATCTTTGGGTTCTTCCCCTAAGTGTATCCTTTAATCTGGCTGATTATGTGTGAATGCCTAGAGTCCTATATAGCTTATCATGTCCAGTAATATTTTTTCTTAATATATATTTTTATTGTAAAGATACTGTACAGAGTCTAGTAATATTTTAGATCCTTCCATATATGAGAGAAAACACATGTTGTTTGTCTCTCTGAGCTTGGCTTACCTCACTTAACATGATTTGTTCTAGGTCTATGCATTTCCCTGCAAATGACATAATATTATTCTTTCTAATGGATGAGTAAAATGCCATTTTGTATACATACCACATTTTATTGATTTACTCATCTATTGTAGGGTCTCTGGGTTGCTGTTTCCATAACTTGGCTGTTGTGAATAGTGCAGCAGTGAACATGGATAATCACATGTCTTTACCATATCCTGACTGTAATGATCTGGTAGTGGTATGGCTGGGTTATAGGGAAGTTCTATGTTTAGTTTTTTGAGGTACCTCCAGTGTTCCAGAATGGTTGTACTGGTTAATATTCCCATCAACAGTGTAATAGGTTACTTTTTGAGACTGACTTTTTCATGTAGCCTAATTATCTGGAGACTCCCTGTCATATGTATTAGTACTTTTTCCTTTTTATAACTGTACATGGTTTGGATATACAAAATTTTTTAAATCACTGACCTGTTGAAAAACCATCAAGATTGTTTCCAGTTTTTGCTATCATAAATAAAGCTGCTCTAAAAATGTGGATAAACTTTGAATACAATTGCTGGGTCATCTGGTTTTGTTTTTAAGGCACTCTGTAACTTGTACAGAATGGCTGTACCATTTTACAGTTCCCCTAGCAATATATGAGTTATCCACTATCCTCACCAGCATTGAGTATTAGCACCATTTTACTTAAGTCATTGTAATAGGTATGTCTTGGTATATCATTGTAGGTTATTTCCTTTTTTAAAAAGCCAATGTGGTTTTAATCTGTAGTTCTCTAATGAATAATAATGTTGAACTTCTTTTCATGTATTTATATGCCATCTATTTATCTCCTTTGATGAAAAGGCTGTCTTTTGTCAATATTCTTATTGGAATTTTTGCCTTTTTAATTTGAGTTTTGAGATGGTTTTTTTCTTTAGTAATGAGATTTGAACTCAGAGCCTTGTGCCATCCTTGTAGCCCCCTTTGCTTTTATTTTTTAAATAGGGTCATTCTTTTTTCCCAGGCAAGCCTGGACCACAATTCTTCTATTTATGCTTCTCATGTAGCTTGGATAACAGGTGCATGCCACTTTGCCCAGCTTCTTTACTGATTGAGATAGGGTTTTAGAAACTTTTTGCCTAGGCTAGCTTCAAACTGTGACCTTCTCCATCTCACTCTCCCAACTAGCTAGGATTACAGGTTAGAGCTATAGCACTCAGCTTGGTTTTGAGTTTTGAAAAAATATGTCCTAGATACTAATCCTTTTACAAACAGATGGTTTGCAAATATTTTCCTCTGAATCTGTATTTGGTACTCATCTATAGGGACTATATATATTGCTAGGACTTTCATGACAAAGTACTAAGAATTGGGTGCTTAAACAGAAATTTATTGTCCCATAGCTCTGAAGCTATAAATCCAAGATCAATATGTCATCTGTATTGGTTCCTTCTGAGGGTTAATCTGTTAAAGTTATCTCTCCTAGAAAATATGTTCACTGCCCCTACCGTCTTTAGCACATCTTAGCTTAAAGAGTGCTTCATTCATCTTTATATGACATACTAGATGTGCATCTGGGTCCAAATATCCTCTTCTTAAAAGGACATTTGTCATGTTTGATTAGTTCATACTAATGACCTCATCTTAAATAATTGCATCTGCAACACCCTATTTCCAAATGAGGTCACATTCTGAGAAGACTGAGTATTAGGTCTTCAATTTGGAGTGAAGAACACAATCAGCCCATAATCAGGGATTTTGCAGAGTGAAAAGGTTTAATTTGATGAGGTGCAATTTATGATTTCTTTCCTTTTATGAATTATGCTTTTGGTGTTAACTTTAAAACTCTTTGCCAAGCCATGAATCTGAAAATGTTGAATTTTTTCTTGAGTTTAAGCTTTGTATCTTACATTTGTGTTTTATATTTAAATCCACGAATCATTTTGAGTTATTTTGTGTAGTATATAATACTTAAATTGAGTTTATTTTTTCACATCTGTTTCAGTACCATTTGTTAAAATGAATATCTTGTTTCCAATGAATTGCTCTTGCACCTTTAACAAAAATTAAGCATATTTATATGTGTCTAGTTCAAGGTTCTCTACACTATTTAATTAGTCTATCCCTCAGTCAGTGCCACACATTCTTGATTGCTGCAGCTATATATCTTGAAATCAGATAGACTGATTTCTTATAGCATTCCTTTTTTTTTTTTGGGGGTCCGGTCGTGGGGCCTGAACTCTGGGCCTGGGCGCTGTCCCTCAGCTCTTCAGCTCAAGGCT